AAATATTAATAAATAATTAAAGGGGTCCCATCTGAAGGCCGGGTAAAAGCGAGCCAAAGGCCCGTAAATAGGGGGTATAGGGGTGACCCCCATAAAAATGAAGCAGTTAGAAAACATTTTCCTACGAGGTAATAGTTTCGCCAGTCTGCCCCTCTTTGCTCACCTACTAAGACAGAGAAGAAATTGTTAATTCTGATGGAAATTCTTAAAAAATACCTCTCTTCTAACACTATGATACAAAGGTGGAAATTTGTTACATCCAAACAAGATGAATCCATACTTTATTATGTCCAAAGACAAAAACAGTTAGCCCTCAACTGCTCATTTTAGGATACGCTTGATAATTTTCTATAGGATCGGTTAATTGCAGGTTTCTCAAACATCGATACATTAGATTTAATAGTCATAGAAGTCGCAAGACCATAATTAACATTAATCATGAAAATAATCTGTCGATTTGGTAGGAATTATGGTAAAAATAACAATAATAATAAGCTGACATTCAAATCAATACAGCAAATCCTTTTAGAGTTTGTATAGCATGTGGAAGGCCTCATTTTCGTAATCGCTGCCTTTCAAATCTTCTACATGTTACAGCTACAATAAAATAGGACATATTTCTAAAGTATGTAGAAAATAAAGTTCAGAATTTGATAAAAAAAAAGTAAGACTGTTATACTCGAAGTTCAACAATATGATTTCAATGAAGAATAGATTGATATGATATAACCTTCAAATTCATTCTCAAAGATAGATTTACGAGATTCAACCATTTGATTTTCACGAGCAATGGATTGATACGATGCTAAAAAATTTCATGAAAAAATAGTAATTCAATCCCAATCTTTTGAATTCTTAGATACGGGAGCTTCCATCTCAATTATTATTACTTGGAATACCTATAAGAAATGTAATACAATTATATTACCATCCACTATCTGCCTAAATTATACTCACCTTAAGTTTTCTTATATCACGATACGGTAAGAATATTTCAGGACGAGACGTTATAGTATGAAATCTAGAATTATTAAGACAATGCATTACTGTAGTAAAGAAGTAATCTATTGTAATATTTTATCATATTATATATTATATTTGCCAGTTAGATATGATTATATATATATTTATGATTAATAAATAGGTGTTGTTTAACTTCCTAATGTATTATCTACACACCCATCCATTAACGTGAAATTATATATCGCCATTTGTAATTAAGTTGCACCCAATGACATATAATATACCTAGACTGACGATTCATTCATTAAAAGTGTACATCAATACAAATCAGCTGGGGACGCCATTTTGGTAACCTATAAAGTAATTATTCTCATGTAAAAAGTGCTATATATTTTCTAATTTTTTGGAATTAAAAAAATAAATATATATTATCCCAATTTTATGATTAAGATTGATGTTATTTGTAAATATGTTATTTTAAAAAGATTTTTCAATATTTGAAGATATTTGCCACTCATATTTTCCAAGTATATTAATGATTTATGATTGATATTTGATAATGGTTTGTTTTTCATTTATGTAAGAAGACTATGAGCTTTTGTTGTGCAATATCTTGCAATTCAAAATCTAGTAATAATAGAAAATCTTTTCATAGGTAGATTTTAATCATATTATTTATATGTATAAAGAATATTTGAATTTTAAATTTATCTCCAGATTCCCTCTAAAGAATCATATCTTATAATCAAAATGGTTTAAGGCAATCAATAGAAAAAACTTCAACCCCACCAAATATTCTAAAATATGTGGTATCATTTCACCATTGATAGTTTTATTCCATCTGTTACGGGGCTACGAAGTTTAAAGGAAGGATCTATACCTACCATTTTCAAAATACCCATTCCTCTTCAGGATGTATGATTATAATATAAATATTTTATGTTCCTAACCCATGAGACATAGTCATTAGGAGGTAAAACATATAGGATTAAGTCCCCGAAAACTTTGATCTCCTTATAATTGAGTGTTTTAAGTTTTAAATAAAAAATATCACTTTTTACATTAATGTTAATATTTTTTTAAATGAGTTCCCTTTATGTCGAAAAACATAATATCTTATTTCCAAAGATGATAAAATATTCATATATATATTAAGAAATATTCTTCAAAGATAACAAATAATCCGAATAATACTATTACAATTTCAAACTCTATAAAAAAAATTGATCATAACTATGCTGCTAATAACTATACCTTAACCAGAAATGTTAAATAATATTACTTCAAAAAACAATAATAACCTTTTTATTTAAAAAAATATTTTTTTAGAGAAAATATTTTCCAAAAACAAGTTACACTTTAAATATTCTTGAAGATGTAGATTTGGAGAAACCTGCTAGTCATGTAAACCCTATTTATTAAAATTCTTGTGAGATTTATTATTTGTCTATATTTTAATATTTATTACAATATTTATATTATAAAACATATTTTTATAAGAATGTTTCAAAAACAATTGACACTATTAATATTCTTGAAGATGTAGATTTGGAGAAACCTGCTAGTCATGTAAGCCCTATTTATTAAAATTCTTGTGAGATTTATTATTTGTCTATATTTAAATATTTATTACAATATTTATATTATAAAACATATTTTTATAAGAATGTTTCAAAAACAATTGACACTATTAATATTCTTGAAGATGTAGATTTGGAGAAACCTGCTAGTCATGTAAGCCCTATTTATTAAAAATCTTGTGAGATTTATTATTTGTCTATATTTTAATATTTATTACAATATTTATATTATAAAACATATTTTTAAAAGAATGTTTCAAAAACAATTGACACTATTAATATTCTTGAAGATGTAGATTTGGAGAAACCTGCTAGTCATGTAAGCCCTATTTATTAAAAATCTTGTGAGATTTATTATTTGTCTATATTTTAATTAAGAGAAAATATCCTTCACAAACAATAGCCAATTATCACAATGATCATATATATACAGCCAATTTATCATTCTTATCAAGAAAGATCAAATATCAAGATAAATATATTTTAAAATTAAAAAAAAAAATGAGCGCCTCTTATAAGAGGGAAACTATAAGAAATAAGAAGATTATCGATTTAAAATCAATTATTAAACAATTGAAGAATAAAAATTTAATATGTGGTGAAGGGGAGGATCAATTGGAAAAATTTTTTACAGGCATCCCTTTAGCTTTTATCAAAACCCAATTACACAGTGGAGGCATAAAAAATCCACGGAGAATAAAATTTTCCCAAGAAAAGAAACAGTTTGCCTCCACTGTTCATTTTTATTCTCCAAAAGCATATAAATACTTAAGGGATCAATTTTGCCTACCATCAGAATCTACATTGAGAACTTGGAGCCAACAAATTAAAATAAGGCCAGGTTTATATTTTATAAATTAAAATATAAATAATTTGATTTTAGATTTTCTCGATGCTTCTTTTGATAGAATTAAAAGATTTCAATCTGATTCGAAAGTAAAATTATTCACCACATTAAGCCTTGATGAAATGTCCATTCGTCATATTGTACAATGGGACAAAAAGGAGTACCATGGATATGTTGATTTGGGCAATGAAATCAAACCATCTGATTCTCTTCCTAAAGCCAAACAGGCTCTTTTTCTTATGGCAACATGTCTTAATGGAACATGGAAAATTCCCATAGGATACTTCTTAGTATCAAATACTACTAGAGATTTGCTTGGTAATATAGTCACTAATGCTCTTCATTTATTACATGATACAGGCACTTCCTGTAAAGTTATAGTATGTGATGGTTTGGCGGCTAATATAAAAATGTACCAACTACTTGGTGCATCTATAGATCCTGATCTATGTATACCCTATTTTACTCACCCATTAAATTTTGATGAAAAAGTCTACATTATGTTGGACGTTTGCCACATGATTAAGTTGTTGAGAAATCTTCTCGGTGATAAAAAAATTTTAATTTATAATAATGGATCAGTAATTAAATTACTATTAAAATATATATTTTTATAAATTAATAGATAATAAATTGGAAATATATAGCTAATCTTCACAATTTACAAGATAGAAGGACTTCGTGCTGCTAATAAAATTAATAAATCTCATATTGACTATCACAAACAAAAAATGAAAGTACAATTAAAAATACTACAATACTTATATTTTTTTTTAAAGGTTAAACTTATGTCATTGGTTGCACCTTATGATTAAATTTACTGAATAAAATGTCAATGAAAACTGATACTTATTGTTTATAGAAATAAATAAATGTAAATAATGGTTCTACCTTCAAAATAAATTTGATTTCAATTCTTTTATTTCAGTTTAAGTCGTAATATAGCAAATTAGTTAGTCGTAATATAACAATATGCAGAATATTCTTTAAATAAATATCTAATAATGGTTGGTACCAGTGGCGTCGCTAGGAGGGGGGGGGGCGCAGGGGCTCGAGCCCCCTGGAAAATTTGAATAGCCCCCTGAAGCAAAAAAAATTTTTTAAATGGAATCTTAACCTCTGAACTAAAAATAAATTTTTTTTGCCCCCTCATACCTTTATAATTCTATTAAGTAAAATATAGATTTAATTTTATTATTTAAAAATTAATAAGACTATCTAAATATTTATTAAATGAATACTATTTTAAATATTAGATTAAATTAATACATATAAATTATATTTTCACTAAGTCATCTAGCAACAATGATATATAATATAACTATAGATTGGCGATTCATTCATTCAATGCATTATAAAGGGTAATGATAATGCACGGTAAGCGTGCACTATTTTTTTCATGTTTTTCATAAATTAACAAGCACGCCAAAATACGTCATATATTTATTTTTTGGTAAATAAATAAGTAAAATTACGAAAGCTCTCGTTTATAAATGTTCGTTTTATAATTATTTTATTTGAAAAACTAAACAATTATTTAAACATTCAAATTTATATTATAAAAGTAATCGTATTTATATACACACAATATTTAAAATTTAATGAAATAGGTTATTCCTTTTACAGAACCTATTCATTTTACAGTACCTGTTCATTTTACAGTACCTTGATAGCCAAGTATTTTTATACTCAATTTATATTATAAATGTATATTGTTATATACTTAGTTACAATAATAATTTTATATTTAAAATTTAATGAAATAGGTTATTCCTTTTACAGAACCTATTCCTTTTACAGTACCTGTTCATTTTACAGTACCTTGATAGCCAAGTATTTTTATACTCAATTTATATTATAAAAAAATAATTGTTAAATTTATAGTTATGCTTATACAGGCACACTGGACAGGTTAAATGTTAGCCTTTGTGCTACCCACCCTATTCAAATTTTTTACTTAAGTTGTTAGGCCCACCCTGGTTCTCTTTAAATACAAGCCCTAATCAAAAATGTATGTAGTTGAACATACAAATAAAAACTATTTGTGATATTTGGAATGATTAAATTAAATATATTACCCCTTATTTACCATCTCTCTATTAATTCAAGATTATGATATAAATATTAGCACAAAAAAAATCCAAATAATAATGATTATTAGTTTATACCCAACTCATTAATATTTTTTACCCTATATTAGATTCTTATGGATGAATATCAAAGCAATTTTGATTTAGATGAAGAAATAACTTCTACAAGTCAAAAAAAATAGAAGTAACAATGCATATTTTTTTTAATAAGGTTATCTATTCTATAATCTATTTCATAGGTTGGGGCACAATTTGAATCATTTAATGATTTGCAAGAAGCTATAGATAAATATGAAAATCTAGTGTTTACAAATTACCATATAGCAACATGTACCAAGCTTGGTAATTTTGATGAAAACATTATTCGAACAATACAATACAAATATATACGTTATGTTTGTATACATGGAGGAAGACACTTTAAAAGTGTGGGAAAGGAAAACGACTTACCCAAACTTTACAACTAAATTGCCCAAACAGCTTTTCAGTAAAGCACATAATAATAGGGGATCTACATAGGCTAGAGGTTTCCAAAATGAATAGTGGGCATAATCATGATTTGGGTATATATTTTTAAGAAATATACAATTTTTATTTATTAATTTAGATTATAATTTATTCATGCGTTTACCTAAGCAAAGTAAAATAAATGATGAATCAAGATCATTAATTGTTAAGTGTTTAAAATATGATGCCTCAATTCCTAAAATTAAATATGACCTCCAACAAAAAGGAGTTTACACAACAAATCGAGATTTATATAATATAAAAAAGAAAATATTATATCAACCAGGGGACTCTGAGCTCCTGGATGTTTTTAACTTATTAAAAAATTTAAACCCTAATAATATTATAAAAATAGTTTCTGAAAACAATGCCCTTCATGGGATATATTACCAAACCCCAAATATGAAGGATTACTTTATTGCATTTCCAGAGATTCTCCTGGTTGATGCAACTTATAAATTAAATTATTATCAAATGCCAGTATTTACTCTCTTTGTTATTGATGGCGAAGAACAAACGAGATTTGCTGCTATCTGGATAGTCAAATCTGAGAATTATTTAATTGTTAAAAATATGTGTGATTTATTTAAATCGTACAATGATAATAATAATAAAATTAAAGTAATAATTGCAGATAAGGACTTTGCTGATAGACATGCTTATAGAGAAGCCTTTCCTATGGCTTCACTTGAAATATGTACGTTCCATGTACAACAAACATTTATTAGAGAAATAACCGTTAAAAAGAGAAATATAAATTCTACCCAGGTAAAGGTTGTGTTAAATCTTTTGAAAAAAAATGATCTACACCAAAACAGAGGCACATTATTGGGAAATATATATTCATTGATGGCATTAAATTTTCCAGATGTGGAAGAATATTTTAATAATAATTGGCATAACATTCGACACGAGTGGTCTTATCCATGGCGGTGTAAAACCACAAATTTTTCTATTTATACAAATAATAGGACAGAGAGTATGAATAGGGTACTCAAAACCCCAATAAAAAACATTCAAATTTAACAAATTTTTTCAAAAATTTGAATATTTGTATAGATACCTCAAATGAGGAAAAGAATCATAATGTGATTATGAATCTTAAAAAAATATCTACAATAAGTTATCCAGAAAATAGTGTAAAATTCTAATATAAAATATATTGACTAATGCTGCCTTTAAAAGGATATTAGATCAGCTAAATTTATCAATATCCCATGATGAAGGAAATTCAACTTTAACAGTATTACCCTCAAATTGTAGTTGTGGATATTTAGAATCTATTTTATTACCATGTAGGCATATTTTTGAATATAGAAGATTGAATGGTATAGATCTGTTTGATCAAAATTTATGTCATCCAAGATGGCAGAGAGATTACTTTATGAATTCAAAAATTTACATGATGACTGATAAAAATAAAATACTTACTAATAATATTAATCAAAATGATATCGATGGCACTAGAATTAATCATACTATCAATGAAAAAAAAATTCTATCATCTGATGAAAAATTCAGAAAAGTAAAGGATATTATGCAAAATATATCATCATTATCATCTCAGATGAATCAAAATGCATTTAACAAAATATATACATACTTAAAATATGTTTATAAAGATCTATGTCAGCCTACTCCTAAAATTATTGAACAATTTGAACATGCTATCAATATATTTAATCCAACATCAGGATTTAAATTTAATGACATGGGTAATCATTTTTTTTAGAATTTATTAATAATTTTTTTTAATGAATTATAATATATTCTGGAAACTTTAAAAAATATATATAAAAGATGTTGAACAAAAACCAGAAAATCCACTGAAACAAGTTAGTGAAGTAGAAATCGATTTCAATAATATAAAAAATATTGAAATGCCAGAAAAAATAAGTCCTGGATATTTGAAAAGACACAAAGATGCTAAAAATATGAGAAAAGGTTTGATCTTTAAATTCATTTATATTATTTGTGAAAAGTGAAAGTGATGAAAGAAAAACAAATAAATAACATCAATATAATGGACAAAGAAAATAATCACAACTTTAAGCATTTGATAGATATGAAAGGTTACATATTTTATAGTTACATCTATATCACTTTTTTTTGGCTAATAGCAAATATTGTTTATATGAAAAGCAAAAAATTTTTTTATGTCTTAACAATATATTTTTTTTAGATACTAGTTTTCCCTCATCAATAAAAATTTTCACAAATAGTAAACCCTTACAAGCTCTTTCTGAAAACACAAGTATTTTTTTGTAAATTTTATACTAATTGCATAATATATTTTCAAGATTCTACCAGTTTACATTCATCAATGCAAACATTTATAGGTTATTATATATTGTTAAACTTTATTTAATTTTTTATATATATTATTTTTAGGATGTGCTAATGCTAAAAAGCACACTGCTGGCTCATCAGATAAGAATATAGTTATCCATTCTTGTAATTATGATAGACAAAAAGATTCTTTTAGTAACGAAATTACTTAATTATATTATTATCTGATGTTTTTCTTGTAGGGCCTCTATTAAATACAAAACGAACAATTTACTCCACAGTTCTTGTAAATCTTTTATTATATATACCTAATTATTTTATTTTAGTACTACCACATGGAAATAATATTAGGCCATTAAATCCTTTTAGTAATAGACCACTTTAATAATATTTAATATTTATTTCTTTAAGGGATTTTACCAAATAATATGCCCAAACTGACATTACCATTAAATAACACCACAAATGTCCCAACTTCAAATTTTTCTTTTGTGAAAGTTGGGAATATATCTACAAGCTCAAATCAAATTAAAACGCTATCATTTTTTAAATAAAATATTTAATATTATTTTTTATATAATCAATAGTACAAATATTATTTTTTTATAAATTATATATCTTATAATAAAAAATGACCTTCAAAAAATATTTGTTTTATTGAGTCACTTCTAAATAATGCAATAATAAAGAACAGGGAAACTTTTTATGGGCTGCTTTATGTTATTTTGGCTATTTAGAAGGGTAAGATATAAAAAAAATTAAAGATGTTTTGGAAAATAAGGCAAGATTATAGGATTTGCAAATGAATTGATCAAAATGTAGGCCAAATTTGCAAAACAATGAAAATAAAATTTTCTAATAAGATTTAAGAATACTATCATTTTAGTTTAATTTATGTGCTAAGAATAAAATTAACATAAAGAAATTAGTTAAAATTGAATCAAAGGTGATATTATTAAATTCAAATAAAATATATGATAATTTAAAATATTTATTAATAATTATATCAGAATTCACATTAAAATGAAAAGTTGTTTATTCTTTTTATTTGACTTATATAAATTTCTCTTTTGATGGAAACAAAAGCTTAATGTTTTATTATCTTTAAACTCTTTTTCTTCTACTAATTTTAACTGGCCCTTAAAAGGGCCTTTGGGTATTATATGGAGGTGTTATTGTTTATTTCTATTGTATACTTTTTGACTTTATTGTCCATTGCTACATAGAAGCCTTATTTTGAATATAATAAAATAATAATAAACATTGTTTAATCTAAATAATTATTTTATTATAGTGTTTAGATTTTTTATCTTAACTTAATTGAAATATTTTAACCAATAAGTATAAGAAGTAAAACAACTTAAGATTGAATTTTAAAATTTATTTTAAATTGAAATCCAATGGGTAGATAATATTTAACTTAGTTCAATAAGCAATTAAGCCAATAAGTCAGTTATGCAATAGTAGTAAGAGTAACACTATAGATTGTTAAAAATAGAATTAAATAAAATTAGAGAAGCTATATTAGCTACTATGGTTTTCAAGATTCTTTGGAATAATTTGGAAGCCAATTATTTGAAGAAAAAAAGTTTTATTAGTGAATTTTCATCAGTGAGCAAAATTTTAAGGTCTCAGGTTATTTGTACTGTTTTTGATAAAATACATGCATAAAAAATAAAATCAACCTCTGAGTGATAATATATGAAGTTAAATCAAACTGACTAAAATATGTTATGATTCATTGGGAATTATTTACATCTCATTTATGCATATTCTTAGACAACATATAAATTGATAAAAATATTTGTTTCTTAAAGTATTGGATAATATTAGCTATCTTTATACCTGCAAATCATTATATGATTCAAATTGAGCCCCAACCTATAAAATAGATTATAGAGTAAGATAAAAATTTTAGGTAAAACTTTTAATAATTACATTTCAAGTCAATAGTAAATATATTATTAAAAATATTGTTATTTCTAAATTTATTTAACTTTTAGAAGTTATATTGTCTAAATCAAAATTGCTTTGATGCTCATCCATAAGAATCTAGTATGATATAAGCTTTTTAAAAAAATATTCATATTCAAATCTGCTATGAGAATTCACATTATAATGAAAAGTTGTTTATTTCTTTTTTGACTATAAAAAATATAAATTTTTCTTGGATCAAAAAAAAGGCTACATTTTAAAACAAAAAAAATTTCAAAAGGGCCTTTGTGTATTTAATAAAAATGATTCTTTGGCTAAAAGAGAATACTTTATAACAATTTGTTAATCCTGTCAATAGTTTATTTCTGTGTATACTTCTTGTCTTTATTGTCGCTTGCTATTTTGAATATAAAAAAATGATAATATAAAATGATTAATCTAAAAATATAATTATTTTATTTGAAAAACCAAACAATTATTTAAACATTCAATATGGGCATTCAATTTATATTATAAAAGTAATCGTATTTATATACACAATATTTAAAATTTAATGAAACAGGTTATTTCGCATTTGCTCAATTCTGGCTGACTGAGATAAAAAAATCAATAACCTATAAGATAGATATAGAATATATATAGATAAAAATTTTAGATTAAAACTTTAAATAATTACATTTCAAATCAATAGTAAATATATTCTTAAAAATATTGTTACCTCTAAATTTATTTGACTTGTAGAAGTTATATTGTCTAAATCAAAAAGATCAAAATTGCTTTGATGTGCATCCATAAGAATCTAGTATGATATAAGCTTTTTAAAAAAATATCATTATTAGAGATTTGCTATAAGCTAGGCTGAGCAACCTCTTAAAATATATACATGGCCTGTGGATTTTTTTTGTGCTAATATTTATATCATAATCTTGAATTAATAGAGAGATGGTAAATAAGGGGTAATATATTTAATTTAACCATTCCAAATATCACAAATAGTTTTTATTTGTATGTTCAACTACATACATTTTTGATTAGGTCTTGTATTTAAAGAGAACCAGGGTGGGCCTAACAACTTAAGTAAAAAATTTGAATAGGGTGGGTAGCACAAAGGCTAATATTTAACCTGTCCAGTGTGCCTGTATAAGCATAACTATAAATTTAACAATTATTCTTTTATAATATAAATTGAGTATAAAAATACTTGGCTATCAAGGTACTGTAAAATGAACAGGTACTGTAAAAGGAATAGGTTCTGTAAAAGGAATAACCTATTTCATTAAATTTTAAATATAAAATTATTATTGTAACTAAGTATATAACAATATACTTTTATAATATAAATTGAGTATAAAAATACTTGGCTATCAAGGTACTGTAAAATGAACAGGTACTGTAAAAGGAATAGGTTCTGTAAAAGGAATAACCTATTTCATTAAATTTTAAATATTGTGTGTATATAAATACGATTACTTTTATTAAATTGAATGTCCATATTGAATGTTTAAATACGTGATAGGTGATAAAAGCGTTTTCGCCCTCTGGTTGTGGATACAACAGAGCTACGCTAGGTTTTCCTCAAAAAATCCATCAAACTGGATAGTTAATTTAGGGGAGGAAAAAAAATGAGGAGCCCTTCACACGTTTGTGGGCAAGCCGCACGTACTTGTACGCGCAACAGTCCGAGAACTGTCGCTTAAACGTCTATAGGCTAATCAACAAAAGAGAAGGGCAAAAACAAAAGCCTATACCCATGAACTGCCTAAATAATTTAATTACTTTAAGGGTGGGTGGTGGCCAATTTTAAGTTTAACATCTAATGTAAGCCTTGATAGTTACTAACCAATAATTGAGAATGTGTTCATATCAATTGAGATTAGAATTTATTCATGAAAATAAGGAAAAGCTAAAATGGGTTTACCACAAATTGTTTAAAAGGTGAAAAATCCAGTGAATAGGCAAAAACTAGTCAGTAATCGGTTTATGACTATCCAGCAAACGAACACCACACAACAAACGGTTATTTTTCCTTTTTCCAGAGAAACAAAAAACTCTATGGAGTGATAGATAGATTATATAGCGAAAAAGGTCTTTGATAATGATAAAGATATGAGAGAAAGGAAACTATGACGCAGAAATAGGAGCCAGCTCCGTAAGTTTTAGGAAATTGAAAAGTAATTGTTGGCCAGGATTAACAAAAGGCATTTTGGCTTGATTGTTATATGATAGTCTATCATTCACGGAAAACTCTACCAGCAAAACATATTTACAAACCTCGCCACCCCCCTGTCGACTGGTTTCTCCATAAATGATGTAACAAGCGAACAAAGACTAATGAAAAAACACTAAGAAAAAGCAAAAGCTCCAGGGCCAGATAATATCACAGCAGAAAAACCAAAAAATAAATAGCATCTATAACAATATCGCTACCTATTTGCCCTCATTTAATAGAAATATGGGAGAGCGGAACTACTGCAGTGGGATGAAATCAAAAATCCTACCTAAGTAACTACCCAAAAACTAAGACCACAAGAAAATTAAGACTTATTAAGCTATAGCCATCACATCCTATAACATGGAAAAAGCATAACACCCACACCAAAAATACATAAGTATATACAGGCCAAGAAAAGAAAATACTGGATCCAAAATTAATTTAGAAAAATAATCATGCAGAAAAACTAAGAACAAAACCCCTTCTGCTTTACATTTGTGAATTATAACAGAGCTATTGATAATGTTAACCATGCAGTTTTTTCAGAAAATAAGATAAATAAAAGCTGAAGTCAGTGAAGTAAGTAATTCACAGAATAGGTGAAAGACAAAAATCAAGAGGTAAAATTTAGAGATGAAGAAATTAAATAACCTGAAAAATACAGAAAATAAATTATGGGAGGTTTAGGTAATTCGATTTAATTTTTAGTAGTTTTTTTATAGATTTTTTGTTTTTATTTAGCCTTAGGAATTGCTTCAAATTTAAGTTTAGATCCATTATGTCCTTCAAGGCTCTGTAGAACCATAATGTCTTATATTTGCAATATGTTTTCCCATTAAAGGAGTATAACCAATTAATGGCATCAATAACAAGGCTATTGTTACTATGATTTCTTAAAATATGGGCAAAGAAAGTAAGACGTTTCTTTTTTAAAGATACGTGAACCTGGGTATGGTTAGACTTCTTCCAAAGATTTTCATTTGAGATAATATTTGGATAGAAGATTCCATTTATTATTCTAAGGCATTTATTTACAAACGTTTGTAATTTCCTAGTTTCGGTCTTGGTAATCTCCCATGTATCACCGCCATAAAAGAGAATCGGGATGATGGTTGAGTTGAAAATACAGAGTCTTGTGAAAACGGATATCTCTCTAGCTTTCCACAGTTTAAAAAATTTATAAAAAGCCGCCCTAGCATTTTGTAAACGAATTTTTAGTTCTTCTTTACAACTACCTTTATTGTCAATGGTTACACCTAGATATTTAAAAGAATCTACCACCTTAACCAACTTTCCCCCCACCACCAAATTATTCAGAAGAGGCGCCTGGGACGAGGGCATTATCACTGTTTTATCAAAGTTAATGTCCAAGCCAACCTTAAGACTAAAGGAGTTTAATATAGCGATCAAATTTTGGGTTTCTTCCAAACTTTTTGTTATCAAAACTATGTCGTCAGCATAAGATATCACCCTATTTTCCAAGAAAAAAGACTGACTGGAACTTAATTCTAAGAGATTCGCAGTAGCCAGCGTATCTACTATGATTTTATTCATAAGTATATTAAACAAAAGCGGGGAAAGAACACATCCTTGTTTTACCCCTTTTTTTGTCCTAAAAGATGGAGAAACCTTATTATAAATTTTTAAGGAGGCAAAAAGACTACTATAATGTGTTTTAAGGATCCTTATAATATTAGAGTCAATGCCATATTCGGTTAAAATCTTCCAAAGCTCATCATGGTTAACATTATCAAAAGCACGTTTAAAGTCGATAAAAATAAAGTAAAAAGGTAATTTATACTTCTGACATTTCTGCATTATAATCTTTAAAGCTAATATTGGTTCGTTTATATTTCTACCTGGACGGTAAGCACAAATATACTTAGACAAAAGGTTTGGTGTAGAGGAAAGAATGCGATTTTTTAAAAGAACCATAAAAACTTTTGATGCAATAGACGTGAGAGCGATGGCTCTATAATCCTTGAATTTAGATGAAATTGGAATTTTCGGGAAGTTGCAAAAGATAGTCTTATTCCAATCCGCTGGCATCATCCCAGTCAACCATATCTTGTTAAACAAAGGAAGTAAGAACCGAGAGATCGTTAAGGGAGCTGCTTTCAGATGTTCTCCCGTAATGTTATCTGTACCCGGAGATTTATTATTCCTAAGCTTCTTAATGGCAGCCACAATTTCCGCCGATGAAAAGTTTGCATCCAATTGTCCCCCATTTTGACTAGTGGATGGGATTAAGGTAGGCCTCCTAGAATCAAAGACTCCCATATAGTGGTCAAGCCATAACGCTATCTGTTCGTCAGGGTCAGTAATTAACCTATTATTATCCAGTCTTATAGTTGGAAGTGTCTTGAACACTTTGGCTTTACAAAAATAATTTAGTTTCTTATAGGCGTCGAAAGTTCTATTTTCCCTCATATCCCTGTCTATCTCAAAAGCCTTTTTAGCAATAAAGATCCTTCTATCTCTCCTTAGGAGTCTATGAATTGAGGTCCATAAGTGACCATCGCGCTCACCCCGTAACTTGAGTTGAGCTATCATGCGAGTGGTGTCATCGGATAGCCATTCCTGTCTCGGTGGAGAAATGTTGATGTTTGGGAGATGATTGTAGGCATCAAACAAGTTGTTTTTGAAAGACGCCCAACATTCTTCGACAGATTGAGACTCCGACGAGGATAAGAAAGTTGCCTCTCTATCATTTAAGAATAGATCGAGCTGTAGTTTGACTGCAGGGCGTTGCAGGTAAGTTGCATTTCTCTTCCAGGACAGGTATCTCGGCTGGGGTTGAAGAGAAGGACGCCGAGAGTTTCCCCATAAATTTTTCACAGTGATAGTGGCTCTGATTAATTTATGATCAGAAATATTAATATTTGGCATTACTTTTACATCGATAAACCAACTATGGATGTTCGAGATGATAAAATCGATCTGAGACTTAATATTATTTCTACTGAAGGTTAGGGTGTTTAATTCACTGTGCGAAAAGAAAGTATTTTCGACCTTGAGGTTTATACTCCTGCACATCTCCAATAACTTTCTACTGTCATCACTGTTTAATTGAGAGAGAGTTGCATTCCCAATTACCCCATCTCTAATAAAGGAGTCATCTTTTCCGATCCTAGTATTTAAATCCCCAAGAATTATCAAATTTCGACTCCTAGGAAGAGAGTTTACAATGTTTTCGAGGTCATCGAGGAATGCGAGCCGTTCGTTTCTTCTAGGCGGGGCATAGACATTAACTAAGATTGTTTGCCTGAAGCAGGTATTCAGGTATAGTAAACAGCATCTCTCCGAAATGGGCACAAATTTATCCACGTATTTGCATAATCTTTTGCTGATAAAGAAAGCAACTCCCGACCAATTATTGGAAGTGGTGCCAGAACTATACATTTCAAAGTTATTAAAGGTAGCCATATTATTATCTTTTGAGTGGGTCTCCTGTATCGCGATCACATCCATTTTTTCGTCGACCATGAGCCTTAGAAAAATGGTTAATTTATTTATTAAACCATTTATATTAAGCGAGGACATGATAAAATTTCCTTTCAAACCACTCGGGCGCTATCAGATAAAAAGGATATATGTATACAAAAATATATGTATAATATGATTTATTACAAGTGGTCATACTAAATATATTTCTTACAGTTTTTGTTTAAAAGAAAAAGGAAGAAAAATTGACAAGGATGTTTGTAGGCTTTAGACCAACCCGGAAGAGAAAGAGTAGAAACAAAGTGAGGTAATTCAAAAGCAATGCCAAAAAGGGGAAGAAAGTGAATTTGGGTTTGTCGATTTTAAAAGGATATTGTCTTAATTACCTAAAAGGAAGGGAATAGTGTAAAGGAAATTTTTAGGGAAATTCCGATAGAAGGAAAAACATATGTTAGGAAAGGAATAGTGTAAAGGAAATTTCATGAAATTCCGATGAAAGGAAAACATATGTTACCTAAAGGAGAGCCAATCGAAAAATAATAAAAAATGAATAAATAAAATTATTTTCCTAGGACTAATTTAATATAAAAAGACCAAAAATGTTGGAAGATGAGGTCACCTAAAAACTTAAAGAGAAAAATAAAAACGAAAAAGATAAAGATTGTTTAATACAGAAAAACAACTGTATAGAAAAAAAAAAATTTACCTCCATATCTCTGTGCACATTTGGAAAACGAGTTGACATGGACATTTATAGAAAAGATTTAAAATTTGAAGGGAAAATAAAATATAGCCAAGCGTATAAAAATAAAAGTAAAACTTTACAAAAAATTTTTTTTTTTATATAATAGAAGACTATGGAAAAGGAAAAGATTAATAAAAATATATAGGTAAAACAATAATAAGGGGGGGGAAAAAATCAGGGCGGGATAACCTTATAACTTTACAATAACCAAAATTAAAGATTATATTAAGCTCTAAAATATATAAATACAAAAATATTAATAACAAGTTGTATAAGACATTGTCGAGAAGCAAGAAAGAGAAAAATTTAAATGTTAAGAAAAGAGAGATCGATGGCGCCCAATATTTGGAAAATTATAAGAAAGAGAAAAATTTAAATGTTAAGAAAATAGAGATCGATGGCGCCCAATATTTGGAAAACTATTATTTTAAGAGAAACAAAGAATTAATATAACAAAGGCGCCTGGAAAGTTAAAAATATGAAATATTGAAAATAAAATTTAAACAAATTTATGAATAGGCAGAAAAAGTAAAAATAGAAACATATTTGGGAG